CCTGGTTCCCGCCACTTTCTCGAGCTACTTATGCTCCCGTCTCCTTCCGTGTTGGTGCGGTCGCCTTGGGAACCCTTCTCTTCGGCTTGGCGGCTGCTGGGTGAGCCGGAGTCTGCGGACAGGCTGTGCTGCTCTGGCTGGGACAGAGGTCTCCTGAATGCTGCTGCACTCACTCCCCCGGGTTCCTGAGTTGTAGGCCTATGATCAGGTCTGCTGTCTCATCCTTCTAAGTCTAGGGGCAAGAGGGAGATCCTATATGGCACTTGCTTATGTACCCAGCTGGTAGATGCTTTGGGAGGCAACCAAGTAGGAGGAATCATAGTCCACCTCTTAGAACTGGTTTGCGACTTAATACTGGGAGGTTAAAGGCACTCTGGGGTCTCCTTTGTCTTTTCAGCCCAGGATACATCTAGACTGGCTAGAAGAGTAAAAGTACTTCGTGTTCTCTTTGCTTTCGTTTTCATGAATTTAAAGAATTCTCCATCTACTTTGAGGACTACAGATTTTTTTTTTTCTCTCTATGAAGAAAACTAATCTTAACATTTATTCTGGACTCATGACTGCACTAGACTATTTTACAGAATTACTTGCAAGCATTTTTAAAAAACAGTTTCATACACAAACGCAGCGGTCCCATTGAGCCATCATTGCTGCCGTTTGCTCTAGCTAACTCCCTTTTTTTATCCCTCGTCAGAACTTTTCTCTTACAACAACATTTTACTAGTATCTATTACTGGGGGGCTTTGTACCTTTAATTTCTACAGATCTGTATTCCTCTATCTAAAACTTTGGTTTTTAGATACATTGCGCTAGATCTCAAAAATCTTAGTTATCCACCGTTTTTATTAAAGTCTAGTTACTTCATACTGAACAAAATGATTTTTGAGTCCAGTGATAGCTTATATGTTTAAAGACCTGCAACAACTATGAGACTGAGCTGAGTTTAAAACGAAAAAGCTTAAACTGCTGGCCTGGGCATCTAGCTCGGTAGTAGAGCCATTAGGTGTTATTCCAAGGCCCTGGGTTCAATTCCCACTGCCCACCAAATCCATGTTGTGCCTTTCCCACAACCTTTTTCAGAAATTCAGTTGGCAGATTTGATTTGCTCAGAACTCTTCAGAAAGCTGGGTAGACTATTGGGACCTTAGTGATCGAATCTGCATACTTTATTTACTTAATGTGCTATGATACATAATATAAAGTGAAAATGTAAATCAGTTTTATTTTTCAGTAGCATTTTTTTTTCATCTCAGAAATTTGTAGAAATTTGCTTCTTGGCCTTTTGACTAAGATGAAGTGTGAATCATGTATCAATATTTGATCAGCTTCAATTAATAATCTTAATTTTAGTGCTTACTTATTTTTTAAAAAAACTGGGAAATCCTTCCTTGAAAACATTTTTCTATGATCTTTTTTAATGTCTTCATGTTTTTCTTTCCTGTCATATCATTTTTCTCCTCCACCTACAGATCCAAGCTGTACTTGAATCTTACTCTTGAAAATATTTATTCTGCTGGTGGTGAAGAGGATGTGTTCTGGGGCCATACTTTATTGCCAGAAATATCACTACCAGAGGTAGACATAATGTAAAGGTCAATGTGTTTCTACAAGGAAAAAGTATTAGATAAAAATCACATGTCCCGGAAAAATGGGATATGAATGAAAGGAAAGAATTGTGTTGAGTCAGATGGGTCTGAAACCTAAAATAAGATCAGACTTGGAATCTTAAATCTCGGGAGTAGTTCACACATCCCCTTTTCTAGGTGATAAAGGTTGATTTGGGAAGTCTGTCTTAACATTTCTGTATGTCTGTCTAGCCCTGGCATCTGGAAAGCTGTGAAGTAAGGCTTATAGTTTTGAACTATATTTTGTATAATTTTATTCTAGGATCACTTACTTTTTTTTCTCCCTAAAATCCTCATTGCCTAAATATGTTAATGTTTAATCAATGTAATTTAGTGTTTCAAAAATGGTGACCAAAATGCCAATGAAGAGTACAAATGTTCAGCATCTTGGTTTTCATTGTGTTAATGAAGAGCAGACTGAAACAGGAGAAGATAAGGTGCCCAAATCTAGGGAAATGGCTACGGAAAATGGGAGGTGGCCCAGGCTTAGAAATTTGGAAATTGCTAGGTTTATTTACCTCCCTTTATGTATGTAGATACAGAGATGTCTGAAGGAGTCATTTATATGTTGGATAGTTGCTAAAATGTAGACTGTGAGCAAAATCACATAAAGTATATTTCATCTAATTCTTGAATTGTTTTTTGTTTTTAATGTCAGTGATTTCATTTTAAAGGAGCTTCATTCTCAGAGAATTTATTTCTCAAGGTACTTTTATAATTTTCTTAAGTAAGATATTGGTAAACTATGGGTTTGTTTTGTTTTTTAAGACAATCATCTGATTGGCAACAACATGAAATCCAAGCCCTGGGGATAATAACTAAATCTGAGCTAAATTCTGTCCTCGATTTTTATTGGTTATATAGCTTTTATAAACATTCAAGGTAACCAATGATGAAGATTATTTCAGTTTTTCCTAATGGTACCAGCTATGATTTGGATGTAAAGTATCCTCTGTAGGCTGATATGATGGATCACTTGATCTCCAGTTTGGGGTGCTAATTTGACAAGTTATGGAATCTTTGATAGGTGGAACCTAGCTAGGGATACTGGGAAGTGAAGATGCCTTGAGATGGTAGCCTGGTCACACTTCCATGCTACCCTGTCCTCTAGTCTGAATTAATATGAGCTAGGAGGCACACACTCCTACCTCCTTGGAACTGCCTGTACAGCACCATGGTTTCCATATTACTAGGGTCCATATCCCCTCAAGCATTGAACCAAGGAGCCACTTTTCCACCGATTGTCCTTCTGCTAGGTATTTGGTCACAGCATGAAAGTAACTATTATATTCCATCATCAGTCAAGGTAAAATATTTGGGAGAGTGCTAGATGAAACACATTGAATGAATATAAAATAAGGAAAGCTCATTTTTTTTTTTGCATGAGAAAAATTAGAGGGTAGTGTTGGGTTGACACTGAGTTTACATTTAGGGTTTTATAGTCAGTGCTGTTCAGTAAGCACTTAAGCTGCCACCAGTGTGCTCAGTTCTGAGAAGCAGTAGTTCAGTAAGCACTTAAGCTGCCACCAGTGTGCTCAGTTCTGAGAAGCAATAGTAGTGTGACATAAATGTGCTGGGCCTGGGAGGAGGTACATACAGAGTAAAGCAGAATAGCTTCTCAAAGCATGCAGCTAACCAGTACTTCATCATTTCATTTCTAGACGAGAAGTTGCAAGAATATTTAAGAGTTGGAGCTGAATCTAATATTCAATAATGGCAACAGGTGACTTAAAAAGAAGTTTGCGTAAACTAGAACAAGTGCTTCGTTGGCTAAATTACCCTAATGATATAGATTATGCTGGGTAAGCTATCATACATTTGGTATTTGAAACTTATTTGTGTTTTTTTTGGGGGGGGTTGCTTTTGTTTTTTTGCCAAAAGTTGAGATAGTGTGTGACACAATGGGGTTCCTAAATGAACATAAAGACTTTATGGACCCTTTTTAAATTCTCTCTTGGGCTAGCAAGTTGGTAAAGGAACTGGCTGCCAAGCCTGAAACTAGAGATCCAGCTCCTCTGTCCTCCATACGTGCACCAGGTGTATGTGCTAATGTGCTGAGAATCAGACTCTTCCCGGAAGAGCCTCACATACTTTTAACCGCTGAGCCTTTTAATAAGACATTTAGCTGGGCTTTGGTGTCACATGCCTTTAATCCCAGCACTCGGGAGGCAGAGACAGTCGGATCTGTGTGAGTTCCAGGCCAACCTGGTCTACAGAGTTTCAGAGTGAGTTCCAGGACAACTCCAAAACAATACAGAGAAACCCTGTCTCGAAAATACCAAAAAAAAAGTATTTTGAAGCATGGGGGTTACCATTCGATGTCTCAGTAATTGGAATCTTCTATACTAAAAGAACACATGGTGTAAATGTATAAAATCTATCTTCTGTACATTGAATACACAAAGAAATAAATTTGCAAGAAATGGTAACATCTGTGATCATATTTGTTATATTAAAAATAATACTATTCTGTGGAATGAGAGAATAGCAGGTTAAATAATTAATAGAATCCATTATACTCCAGTGAGCTTACATTTATATGGAGACAGTATCTAGACTGATGTATATACAGTTTAATTCTCATAACTCATATCAGGTGCCTTCCTTCTGTCTGTGCTGTGGGCATGTGCACATCTTTGGCACACACACAAATATAAAAAGATCTTTTAAAAACTTTGGTGTTGAGATGGGGAGGTTTATGCACACATTTTGAATTCTGTGGACAACTTGCTGTTTATATGTAAGGACAGTATAACTTTAGTTAACCAGTAGAGCTGGCTAATTGAAAAAATAATTCATTTACTGTTTTGTACAAGAATCAGTAAGGCGTTTTACACCAGTTAATAAGTAGACATTTAGAAACAGACAGCATGAGGCAGCAAATACTGAGGAATCAATATGGATCAGACAGAAGATGGCTTCATGAAAATCAGCATTTAACTAATAAGTTGTAAAGAAAGATAGACAAAGTGCAGGATACCCTCCTCGATATGAACACAAGCTAAGACAGTACAGTTCTCGTGTGGAAGCAGAAGGTGGATCACAGCATAAGCTCTTTCCATTGTGTTCTTCATTTGTAACTTAGAGTTCATGTTAGTGTACAAATGTTACAAAAATATAAAATATTCTTAGGAACTTTAGGGTGATACTTTTTATTAATAAGAGAAATAAAATGCATCAAGTAAGAATAAACTTTAAAAAACTAATAAGAACTGTAGGAGATAGACTATACAGCTATAGTGAGGTTTTGGACACATGAAAATGAACAGTACTGTTACATCTTCGGATCAGGGTGGTTTAGAGTGGGATATACAATCTGGAGAATCATACATTGCTTCATTATTGTATCTATAAAAATAACTAAATTATTGACAATATTGCCAATTGTCCTTAATAACCCAGCTTTCGGAACTGTGCTAATGAAGTCTTTTTCCCTGACAGTTTGATGAAGGGGGACACAGCAGCATCTTTGCCCATCATTAGCTACTCTCTTACCTCATACTCCCCTTATGTATCAGAACTTCTGATGGAATCCAATATAGAGCTCTTAGCAAAGAATGATGTGCGCTTCACAGATACCGTCTATAAGGTATTTTGAGTTTATGAAATGGTAATTACTTGAGAAACTATTGGATGATTTTTAAAATTAATACTTTAGTAATAATTATCAAAATACAGTTGCATGTTTACTTAACAGTGATGGGCAGTTTTGCCATTGGGCAAATATCAGAGTGTCCTTGTACAGAACTAGATGTTGTGTATATGCATAGCCTATTGCTCCTGGACTACAAACTTGTAACATGTTTCTGTTCTGTATATAGAGTAAATTACAGTGCAATATAAATACTTGTGTTTTTAAACATGCAAACAATATAGATAAAATACTAGGCAATAGAAGGAAGTTTCATTATAATCTAGGGCCACTATCATGCTGTCATTCATTACTGTACATTTAGTTGACAGTATTTTCATGGCTGTTTATCTTGTTAAAATGTCTCTACTGAAATTAAGTTGCGATTTTTCTTTGTTTTATCAGTATTTTCTGTTAATTATGGCAATTGGTACATGTTTGTCACTGGCTATAATTTGACTGCTTCCTATGAAATTTTAGCAAAAGTTTATGTACTGGAGGAAGCAAGAGAGAACATAATCCACAGGCTTCTGCATTAATTAGCTTGTGAGATACAAACTGAAACTTCTGTAGTTTGTTCCTTGAGAAAGAAACCAGGTCTTTTATCTGCAGTAGCATCTAGACACCTGAATGGAGACTGACCTTGATCTCAGTTGACTTTGATTTTTAAAAACCTTAACATTTGCCATTTATTTTGGTCAAGTACTGTGGTGTGTGTGTGTGTGTGTGTGTGTGTGTGTGTGTGTGTGTGTGTGTGTGTGTGTGTGTGTTTTCTTTTTTCCAGACAAGGTCTCACTGTGTAGCTCTGGTTCTCCTGTTGTTCTCTCCCTTTCTCCCTCTCCCCCTCTCTCTAGTTCTCTCCCTCTCTTCCCTTCTGCCCCTGCCTAGGGTATATCCCTATCAACCTGTATCTCATACGTGGGCATTACTCAACACAGTTCTGTAATTTTAGTACCTTTACTTAATGGCTTGCTCTCAAAGAGACCTGTTACCTCCCAAAGAGGTGTCTATATAACTTGGAATTAAACGAATACTACCTTTATTTTTTCACAGCTTCTTCGTGATCAATTTGATTATAAACCAGTTTTGACAAAAAAGCAATTTATGCAGTCTGGATTTGCTGAATGGAAAATTCAAATTGTCTGTGATATATTAAATTGTGTGATGAAAAAGCACAAGGAATTGATTGGCTCGGACAAGGTGATTTTTTTGAATAGATTTCAGTGCTAATATATGCTAAATACTCCATATTTGAATAAACAGCAAATTGTTTAAAAATGCAGTTGTCACTGGACTTGCTGGGCCCAGAAGTTCTTTGTCTCATTAGACTCTAATGATTAGAGAAAGAGTTCAAGGACAGACTTAGAAGAAATTTAAGCCTAGTAACAGATTGATCAAAACAAAAGCAAATAGTGCTTTCTTCAGGGAAGGGAGTGCACAGCTAAGTTTGGTAGGTGAAACCCCAGACGCTTAGGCATGAGAGCCTTTCAGGCACTGAAGGCAATTCTTATGTTAATGCATAATTGTGGAATTTTCTGGGAATGTCAAGGGCATTTCTACCAACTAGGGTTAGTTTGATCCAAACATGGGTTGTTTAGTACCAAGATGGAATTTGAAGGATGTGAATGTGTAAAACCACAGAGATGCTGAGGAGTCCTCCCTCAAAACTTTTAGATCTCAGGATCTCCTCTACAGGACATTTGTATTTCACAGCTAGCTTCCTGCAGAGTACAAGTCACTGCAATACCAGGATGTCCCACAATCTGCACCTGGATAAGGCCATAAGCACCAACGTTAGTGCTAAGTCCCGTTGTTCACACAGCCTACGAATTCGATGCCATAGTTGCTGTGCTATCCACAGGTAGCGTTTAGTATAACCCTCTCAAGGATCATCATTGCTCTGACATTAGTCTTATACATCCGTGACTGGGAAATAAATTAACTGTTCAGAGATAATGTATTTTTGTCACTTTTAAAAGTTTTTGTTGTATTTTCTTGTTTGTTTTTAACTATGTAGCCCAGACTGAACTCTAACTTTCTGTGTAACTGATGCTGGCTTCTGCGCTCCTTCCTTATAGTTCTAAGTATGACATTAGAGCACCGCCATACCAGTCCCCTTTAGTTTACAATAAACAAATAGGCAAAAGCATGTTTCATCACTTTCAATTTGCTATTATCAAAAGTGAGTATTGAGGTAATGGAATTTAAATGTACATCGAACTGTCTGTAAAATGTATTATTTTGTCTAATTGCTCTCCTCTCTTAGACTTCATCTTGCCAAAGAAAGAAGAACATCTCTGAAAAACCAGAGCCTTGTTCAAGCAGTGAGAACCCCCCTGCAGAGGCCATTGGCATTGACATCACTGGCAGGTTTCTGACTTCAGGGAAGGTGTGAAATAGGCAGGAAAAGAGACCTATCCGAAGATTCATTTCTCTAACTGGCATTTGGGGAAACATTGTAGTGATACCACAACATACAAGGCATTTCATTAGTACATATTAGTTTGTCTTATTTCTTTACATAAGTACTTTGATCGTATTTACCCACCACTGCCCTCTCTTCTCACCCCCCTTCCCTTCCCTACCCTCAAATCGTCTCAGCAGAGGTGTGAAAAATGAAAAATCAAATAGACTTTATATTTCTAATTTTGAATTCTTTTTATTTCCCAGGTAAAATTTAGTAAGGTTATATTATGGATGCACTGACATTTACTTTTTACAAATTTTATATCTATGCATGCGTGCGTGTTTTTTTTTTTTTCTTTTAATCTTAATGTGTATGTGTACCATACGAGAACAGAAGACAGTGCCTTATCCCTTGGAATTAGAGTCTTGGGTGGTTGTAAGCCTCTATGTAGGTGCTGGAAATCAAACCTGTGTCTCAGGTGTTCTTAACCTGAGCCATCTCTCTAGCCCCTCAACATATACTCTTAATTACATTCCTGGTCATCCATAAAAAGGGGTGCATATGTAGTAATAACCCATTGGTAACAAGAGTGGTTATGATTCATCTAGCTGCACTGATAACCAAAAATATAGATTATCTAATAATCTGGTTTTTGAGCATTCTTTATTACTAGATATAGCTTGTCTCTGCCTTTGTCTGCTTTAAGCATCTGTGGCTAAATGAATCCAGTACATTTAGAGATGGAATTTTTCTATATCCAAGGAGAGCCTTAAGCGAAAATGCCATTTTCATAATAAATATACTTTCAGCTATTTTCCTTCTGGATGAGAGGCCAGATTACAGATGAATAATCAATGTGTAATTAGATAAAGATGTAAATTGTTTCTGGATAAAGTAAAATACATGGAATTATTTATTCCCTAATCGAAAATACATGACTAGCAGAGCCTTAGTACCAAGAACATGAATAACTGCTACAAAGCTGATAGAATTTACAAATATGCTTCTTTACTGACAGAGAAGTTGAGTCAGTGCTAAAGCAAATTGTCTTCTTCCTGTTGCCTCCTCTTGTAGAGATGCAGTTTATGACTTCTTTATCTCATGTTAGGATTTTTCAGTGTCTATACAAACAATACATAGGCAGAAAGACAGTAGGTAAAGGGTTAGTGAGGTCCTTGTTATTCCTTCCCCCTTTTCAGTATTTTGGACTTTTGGCTGAGGGTAATTATATATATTGTGATTTGTTCAATAGAAAAAATTATAGTGTGTCCTCACACAGCTAGTAGATTATTTAACTTGTAAATTATGTTGCAACTTTATTGTTTGTTGAGAGAGCCTCATTATATAGCTCAGGCTGGCCTGCACCTTATAATCCCACCTGGGTTTACTGAATGCTGGGATTGTGTGCTACCACACCCAATACTTTTTTTTCTTTGTTTTTAACTTTCTTTCTATCCTGTAACCTTTCAAACGTTTACAAAAGCACAGATCTTCCTGTTTCAACAATTAATCAAATCTTTGCTAATCCTCTTTCGTCTCTACTGTAACCGCTTTTCTCTAGCATATTGAATCAAACCTAGATAACTTTAAAATATATTTTAGTGTTTAAGACATAAGAATGATATTAAAAAGCTGAACCACAATTTCACCAACACATACAAAGCACATAAATATTAGCATGTTATGTTGTGATACATTATATGTGGTAGTTTAAATGTTTTTAAACATATATGGAATTATTGTGAGTATTCATAATTGTGCAGTAAAACCATTAAAGTAGTTCTTCCATGCTTGTCTCTATACAGAAGAAAGCTGTGGTGATCCGTCACCTGTATACTGAAGATAACATTGACATTCCTGAAGGGACAGTATGTTCAACAGAAGTGAGTGCAGAGTGTGATGATTTAGAAGGGAAGTGTTCTGAAGTGATGATTGCTGATGAACAGGCCTCTGAAGTCAAGGCTGAGCTGAAAGTAAGGGCTGAGAACCTCTTTGACAGACTTCTTTGGTATCTGTGATTATGTCAGTGTTTGAAAGTTGCAATATTTCTGAACTCTTAAATTATGACATCTATGTTATTACTTAAGAGACAATCAATCTTACTAAATGTGAATCAGTAGATTCCAGTTGTCAGATCTGTTTGGAGTTTTCCTCCTGAGTTAGAAGTAAAGCAAAGAGAAATAAGAGTTGGTATACACCAGAGAAATTACAGTCTAGTACAGGAGATGTGCCAATTTGCATGGTGGAGTTTTCTACCACTGTTTCCTCTGTTGGTAAATAGAAAAACTTGTATTTTATTCCCGTTTTCTCTTTGGTGAGTCTTCGCTGTATTTTTCTCAAGGGGTGTGATCTTACTGTGTAGCCTTGGCTGACTTTATGTAGTCCAGAGTGGCTTTGTATTTGCAATAAACCCCCTGCCTAGCCTTTTGTATGGTACCTGTCCTATCATTTCTGTTGCTCCTTGGTGACACAAATACCATTATGTATATAATCTCTACTGTTTCTGCTAAAATGCTCATGGCTTGTGATTTTTATATATTTTGGATTTATGAAAGTATTATTTACAGGCCTACTTCTTGCTGTATGACACGCTAGGTAATCAGTACATTGTCATTTGCTTATTTCCTCTTGGATTTGTAGTATATTTGTCTAAGAAACTAGCTAATGATAGTTGAATTGTACTACCTAGTCTAAAAGCATCATACAGGTCAATTCATAGGTAGCTGCTGTGAAAATGAAGTCATCAAAGCCACAACTGACAGCCTCATGGCAAAGCCCACTGCTGTGTGCCTGGACTTCTAGCACACTGCTATCTACACGGAAACTCCTTGCCCTCATACTGTGTTCCTTCCTTAGCTACAAAACAGCTCAAAGGAAATGGAGGTACTTGATACTTTTTCAAAAGAATGTCATTTCATATCATCTAGAATCTTGTTTGTCGTTTTAGGAAGTATGTGATAATCCTGAGATTATTGCACTTCAGATGGCACTTGCTGAATGCCAAGAAAAGCTTAAGAAGCTGGCTTGGGTAGAGAGAAGGCTTGAGTGTCTGGAAGCTACAACAAAAGGAAAAGTGATGGTGGATGAGAAGGCCTGGAATAATCTCCTAAGTCGAGTCACTGTTCTTGAAACAGAGATGCTTTTGTCTAAAAAGGTATGGATATGTTAAGCTTGCCTCATGTGTAGTAAATGCTCATCTTAGTAACATCTGTACATTCTTTTGGAAACACTACATGTGAGGCTCCTTAGAAATAGGAAATGTTTGGTTAGAATGAAGTCTGCTTAAGCCTAACAATTTTCTTACACTTCTTGTAACCATTTTTTTTTCTATCAAATAAGATAATTTGTAAACCCTGTAAGTTGAGCTTTTATGATTAATAGTACTTGAAATACTTAGAATGAGGTAAGAATGTTTTGAAAAACTTAAATTATTTTCATGTATCTTAATAGGACAAAGGGCTTCTGTTTACGGGAAAAATTATAAAAGAGTTAAAATTGAAACTTTCTCTTCTTTACACTTAACTTCAATCATAAAGTAAATTTCTTAGAAACACTAAATTTACTGTCTTAGTCACTGTTCTATTGCTGTGAAGAGACATCATGATCAAGGCAAGTCTTATAAAGGAAAGCATTTAGGGGGCTTGCTTACAGTGTCTAGGCTTAGTCCATAATCATCATGGCAGGGACAATGGCAGGAACTGGAGCAGTAGCTGGGAGCTACATCCTGAACCATAGGCCAGTAGAGGTGGAAAGAGAGAAACTGGGCCTGACAAAGCTTTGGAATCCTCAAAGCCCACCCCCACTGACATACTTCCTCCAGCATGGCTACACCTATTTTACCGGGGCCATACCTCCTAATCCTTCTCAATTGGTACCCCTCCCTATTGACTAAATACTTGAGTCTATGGAGGCTATTCTTTTCCAGACCACCACATGTACCATTGCCGTATGTAGTCTGAGAAACTGTATTATTTCTTAGCGTTTCAGCTTCTAGTCTGTCTTCATTTTTAGAGAAAGGAGTTGTAGATTCAAGGTTACTGTCTGCTTTCACACTTAAATGGTTGTTTCTTATGCATAAGAATAATCATATCGTATTGGTAAATAAATGTATTAAAACTAAACATTCTCTGTGCTTTGCTTATATTCTATGGTAAGCAGCATAAAATGAATTACCTTTCATTTTATTCTAAATATTTATCTGTACATTCCAGAATGAATGTGTAGAGCTTAATGCAGCAAGTGAAGACTATGACTCTGTTAGTGGCACAGATATTATAACCTTTGGTAAGTTCTTAAGTTGAATTAGTACTGTTGGCTTGCAAACATTTTCAGAACAGTAGCTTTTATGGGCATTTGGCATTTTTAGCATTCTTGTGTGTGTGTGTGTGTGTGTGTGTGTGTGTGTGTGTGTGTGTGTGTGTGTTTGTGTGTGTGTGTGTGTGTGTGTAAGCCAGAGGTCCACATCAGTCTTCTTTCTCAGTCACTTTCCACATTATTCTTTGACGTAGTCTCTCACTGAATCTGGAGCTCACTGACTTGGCTTGCTTGCTAGCCATCAAACTCCCAGGATCCTCTTGTCTCTAGCACCCTATTTGTGCAAATGTAGGTGCAAACTACTGCATCTGAATTTTTTTTTTTTTAACATGGCTCTGGAAATCAAATTTAGCAAGCACTTGACTGGAGCCATATCCTCATTTTTTACTAAACATTTTTCTTACCAAAATTACAGATCTCTTAGAACAAAGGAAGTAGTGAACCACAGATTGCTAAGAATTGCTTATAAAACTAGAGTATATGTCATTCAGAGCATAGCTTGCAGACTTTGGGGGATTTTCACATTTTAATCATTCCAGAATAACACAGAGAAAAGCAGACCTCTAAAAGTTAGAAGTTTAATCCTAAGTAGTAACATTTTTTTTTTTAAGATTTTATTTATTAGGTACACAACATTCTGCTTCCATATATGTCTGCACACCAGAAGAGGGCACCAGATCTCATAACAGATGGTTGTGAGCCACCATGTGGTTGCTGGGAATTGAACTCAGGACCTCTGGAAGAACAGCCAGTGCTCTTAACCTCTGAGCCATCTCTCCAGCCCCAAGTAGTAACTTTCTTGTGCATAAATAAGATCTATGACTGGAGAAAGTACATTTCTCAGAAATCTGTAAAGGGCTTTATCTTTTCATTTATCACTGACAGTAATAAAATGAGAATCGTGTAGAACCTGGGTGACCCTTTTCATGTCACAACCTTCTAGTGATATTTTCCATGTTTCTGAGCATAGGGATCTCTGGTTTCAGCAAAAGCTTTTCTTCTTTAAGTCTTATAATTTAGAAAAAGCAACGTCTTACATTTTATCTCATTATGATTAAGTTAAGTTTGTAAAAAAATGACTTCTGCAATTGACAATCCATGAGATTAAATCTTAGTACTATAGATATTTAACATCATTAGATCTTTTCAGCTGCTATATATGTAATAATTTACATTTCACAATATGCAGTTTAGCATTATTCTCACTGTGGTATTAACTCATTTAATTCCAAATACAACCTTGTAAGATAAATACTATTATTATCCATATCTGAATGTTCCAGATGAGGAAAATGAGTTTCATTGAAAATCATAGGTGACTATGCCAGTGGCCACACAATTACTGTATGGTGGACAAAGTTGAATCCAGACAACTCATTCTGATAGTTTTCCTCAACACTACAAAATTAGTGCACGCACTGCTATCCTTGCACAGAGGATAGTTTATTCAGTCATTAGATTAACTGAGATGCTTTTTAAATTATTAAATTGATCATAGACTGCAGATTTCATATTAGGTAACATTAACTTTTCCATTTGTCATTCATAGATTTAACGAATATCAAAATTTACCAAATTCTTAAGAGCATAAATTTTGTCCTGTGATTTATCTAGCAGAAAAAAAATTATATCTGCAACTTCTGTCTCCAGTAGGTGTGTATGTTAGAGTTCAAATATTTGCTTTACTGAAAGAACATTTAGCCTGCTTTTATAGAACACTGCCTTTTCCAAGTTTGGTTTTGCCTTTTCCAATACCTACCTTATGTGCATAGCCAAAAAATTAAGCCGCTATGCTAGGATTCAGAATAATATAAACTTTTATCCAAAATAATTTTAAAATTATGATTAACATGAATACCGGTTTCATAGAAGTTATAATTTGACCTATGTACAGAGTTGAGTTTACAAAACCTTACACACTATACCTTGTGAATGGAAACTCAGGTGATTCAGTTTCATTGGATGCAGAGAACAATACAAATGTATTGTTATTATTCTGATCTTAGAATTATGTTCAATAAGGAAGGAATTTTGTGAAGCTCCAAATTTGTTTTCCCCTTTATCAAAAATATATTGATTTTTTGGGAGCTATAAGACATCTGTGTCTTGGGATGAGTGAAGTGATAGTGAAGACAGTTTAAGAAAGTGAGAAGCTTGCTTGTTTATATGTTCTTAGGAGCAGAAGTAATGTGATGATTCATGACAAGAACGAAAGGAACTGAAATTTCCAGCGGAAGAGAAGTAGTCAATGAGTGAGCTCCGTGTCCCATCAGTTTAGTGGCTGTACACTGTCCTTGTTTAGTTGCTTCAGACATGACAGTGGTTTTACTTTTTCTGTATTTCATGACTTGACATGAGTTTGTTGTCTATTGAATAATTTTTATTAGTGGATCTAGTAACTTAAGTGTTAATTGCCAGACAGGCCAGCAACTGTCAAGGTTGGCTTTGGATTGCTTTGCTTTACTTTGTTGTGTACATTTATCCTCAGAAGAGAGCAATGTGGCTAGTCCAAGTGTAGTACCCCAGAGTACACTTTCTTCCAGTGTGCATGTGTACATGAAGGGAGTGGAAGCAGAAGAGTGGAAAGACCAGGTCATGGAGTTTACCCTGCAGTCATGGAAAGATTGTAGCTAGTATTTTCAGATTTGCATTTCAGAAAGATTCTCATAAAAGCCGAGTGGTGATCAGCCGGAAGAAACTAAAGCAGATGGAACAGCAGTGGCCAAGTGATTGTTTTTTTCAGAACAATAATGAGGGATTTTACTAGGACATTAGTCATGAAGATAAGGAGCATATAATCTCCTGGGGAATAGGCAGGGGGATCAGGAGTGGACTGTGGTTGTTGATAAACTAGAAGCAGTGAAGGAGCGAGGAAAGGATAAGGCCAACCTTACACTGGGTTCCAGGTAGTTATTACTCTATAATAGGAGGGAGAATGCAAAGTGAGAAGAAAAATTGTTAAAAAAATAATAATAATGAACTCACTTTTGAATATAACTTACTATGTATGAAATACTTAAGAAAGATCTCCACAACTTAGGCCTTGATTTGTAAGCACTGGCTTGCAAACTTTCAAAGACCACAGAGGCCAATTTGTTCTCTTACTATAAAATATAACATCCTTCAGAATTGGCAGTGGCAGAGTGGTGGTCCTATGAAGACAGCTGGCTAAAATATCTGGTGTCTACTTTAGTAGCCTTCCTTGTGTCACAAGGAATCCATCCCACTTATTCTCCCCTAACTCCAACTTCAGGGGCTTGGTGTCAGGGCTCACTGCTGTTCCTTTTCTTTCCAACCTGAACTCACTTACCAATTCTTTTCTTAGTCTTCTACAGCATAGCTAAGAAACTATCATATTTAAACTAGTAAAATCTTGTGATTTTATTTAGAGCTCAGGAAAGTAATAAAAACTGTCATGAGCCATAATATTCACTTAGCTGATCTGGCTGTTAAATATGGCTGGCATTCTGTATGTACTGCACTCGGTAACCTCTGGAGTCCCTGGTGGCATGTCTCTCTGAAAGTCTCCTAGCTTGCCTAATGCTAACTTTCTTTCACATGAAGCAGCTATGTGCCTCAAAACTCAAGTCCCAAGATTCAGGGTGAAAAGAGCCATTACTTTAACTATCTTCCCAGCTCTGCATGCTTGTCCCCTTTCTCCTTTTAGGACAGCATAAAAAGTATTAGGAACCTTCAGAGAACATCTCAAGCAGAAGAAAATAATACAATATTTAGAGACATGGAAGTTACATTTTCTGCTGAGTTTCGAATTATTCCTTAACGTTGCAAATTTCCCACAGGTCCTGCTGAAAGCACCTGTGTCCAGCTAGTCTTCAGAGCTGTAGTCTCAGCTAACTAGATCACAAGTAGACATCTAACCCAGTAAATAGCAGTCCCCAAGGGTGTCAAGTCGAATTACACTTCTATCTTAGAATTTTGGATTGGGACACTAAAACAAATCAGTTAGATCGTGTTAAGCTTGGATTAAGCTGATAATTTTATTCAGGCTGATTATAAGTTTATTTAGTATATTCAGGTGAATAAGCTGAGAAAACTATTCTACAGAGAAAAGCAGCCGCTGGAGCAGATGACAAATTAGTCAAGGAAGATGAGGATCTATCAGATAAAAGGCATTTTTGTAATCCTTGGGTATTAATACTTTGCATCTGTGAAGGAAGACAGCAAATGCTTACACTGAAAACCATTTTAAGTGGTTGTCAGTTTCTTTTTAGCTTTGTTTTTGTAGGCAAATTTATTCTTAATAGGGCATAATACGTAGGATTGACTTGATAGACGTATGTCATGTCTGTGCTGTTAAATAACTGATGGAGTTAATGAGGAATGTGCCATTATTTTGTCACACTGATAGCAGGATATCTGACATAAGGGTTTTTATTGTTATTATTTAAAGAAGAAACTAGATTTTGTTTTTGTAATTTTTTTCCTATGTGTTAACTCAAGATGGGATCCTCTTGACTTTAAAAGAAGGATTAGTAATAACTGCCACTAGCTACAAAGCCATGGTGAAGCAGTTGTGAAGTATTTCAACATTGCTGTATCAACGCATCATGACAAGTCCACCAGTATTAGTTATTGTACATGTCTCCATCCTAAGAAAGGAGCACATAAGTCAGTAGCTTACAGTTTATTTTTTAAGATTTATTTAGACATGTTTTCTTTATGTATATGAGTGCTCTGTCTTCAAGCACACCAAAAGAAGGAATCAGATCCTACTACAGATGGTTGTGAGCCACCATGTAGTTGCTGGGAATTGAACTCAAGACCTCTGGAAGAACTGTCAAGTGCTCTTTACTGCTAGCCCCAAGTAGTTTATGGTTTAAATTACTAACATTCCTATTTATTCAAAGTGATTTCTAGTATGATTAAGGTAAACTGTTTTTGGAGGATTTTTTTTTTTTTAGTTTTGAGACAGGGTTTTGTAATATTGCCTAGGTCAGCCATGAACCCATGATTCTTTGCAGCTTCCCAAATACATGTGATTACAAGCATACACCACAGAGCCCAAAAGTATTTTGAAACTTTTATTAGAGAATTTTTAGTATCTGTCTCCATATGTTTAAAAAGTATTAAAAACTCATTTTACCTATGCCAATAACTGTCTTATTAATTTATTTGTAAATAAAATTGTAGCTATTTGACTCTACTGTGTAATAGAAAGATATCCTAAAATGTAATTTCTTTGCAGATAAAAAATATAGTGTGGGGACACCAGCCAGTACTTCTGGCTATAGTACAATATCATCGGACTCAATGCCCAGGGGCTCCATTGTTCATTACTGTGGCTTGAAAGATTTTTCAGAGGTAAGAGAAGCCACCAACTGCTTAGATGATTCCTAAGGTAGAGAAGAAACAAGTATCATTTTTAGTATTAGCTGTGTAGTATATACTTTTGGCAAGAAAAATGGTGAAATCTTAAGTTTCCTCTCTGCAGGTTCTGTGTGTTGACTAGTCACCTTGTGCAGTGTTTCAGAGTGTTTTCTGTATTCATGGTCCATCTTTGAGGGTTGTTTACTTTGAGAAATCGCCTAAATTTGTTGCTTTTTAAATTAAAGGAAACAACAATCCAGAAAATGGAAAGGATGAAAAAAATGTAAGTAATAGAAAGGGGCAACTGAAATCTTTTCTCTGTAGGGAATTGTACTGGAGTGTAGTATACATGGAATGTACATATGTTTTTCAGACCTTGAAAGTCTCAGTCAGGTGTGGAATTTCCTTCAAGACTCCAGTGGATAATAAATCTCCTTCCAGTAGTGTGTGTGAGATGAGTCACTGTTTTGTTTCCAGCAAATGGTGTAAAGCACTGTTTACAGAATTAATCATGGGTTACAAAGGGCAGAGATGCTTTGGTTGTTAATTAATTCAGATTTCTCTATGTCTGATAATTGATTTACCAAAACATTATGTGTATGTAGATGGGTAGTTGGGAGGCATTCGCAATATTATGTTAGGCTTGCCAGCGTTTCCAATGAGCTATTGCTGCATATGACTAACAATGTTGCTTTTACTGGAGACAAATAACATTGCATCTAGTTTTAACAAAGAGTAGTTTAAAGGAAATATATGATGAAATGGTATCAGAATATTATACCCCCCACTACTGTAAAAAAGTACAAAGTTCTTTGACATTTGAAAAATTCTAAAATAACTCATGCTACAAGAATTGGCTAATTTATGTTTGCTGTCTTGTATTTACATGTATTAATAGTAATTACACTAGAGTCAAGTTCATGTTAGGCTCAGAAGCATGTATATGACAGCTTCAGTCCTGATCTCCACTATGAGCTCTGTACTTTGCTGACATGTGATTTGTTTCATTTCAGGTTTGAAGAGACTGCAGAGCTACTGAAATGCTCAAATCCCTAACTGTAGAGTTTTTGCATGAACATCTCTAGGACTTTGGCTACTTACATATGCTATATTTAAGAACTCCTTGTATAATTTTAATATACTATAATATTTTATTAAGAATTTGAATTCAATTTGGTATGTGAGTTTCTTTCATTCCTAAATAAATACTTTTTAATATTGTAAGCTGTAATTGTACTAATTTTCTCTTTCAGATTTCTTGGTAAATCTCTGTTTCAGTATATTACTGTTACAGAGTGAGGGCATTACAGCATCTCTGTATTTTTGCGTTGGCATTTCCTGGCAGTGCACTAAGTAGTACTTTTTCAAAAGTATGGGTTAGAGGACCATGGTCTACATCCTACTGGAGACATTCCAACTACGGCTTGCATATTGTACCCAGGAGGCTCTCATATGTACAGCCCTGCAATCTGTGCTGGTGAATAGACTGTAATTCACAGTTAAAATGGTCACTGAGAACTAACAAATGCTGCAGCGTCTTCTTTATTAACATGGGAACGCTGAGAGCCTGGTTCTCTAGTGTGCTCCCTGTGGGAAGTGTGCTGAATGCATGAATTCTTCTTTATTAACATGGAAACTCTGAGGGCCTGATTCTTTAGTGTGTTCTCTGAGGGAAGTGTGCTGAATACGTAAGACCATCAGCACAGACACAGACGGCGGCCATCCATGTAATACACGGTGAAGGAGGTTTTCACTTTCTAATAATGGAGAGAAAAAGTCTTAAAGTTAAATTGAAATTAAATTAAGATCATGTAGAAAGTTACTATGTAAATATTCTAACTTTGTAAATGAAAATGTGATTATAATTCTAGGTGATAGAATCATGGAAAGCTATCTTTCTGTTTTATATTTTATGTTAGTCACCTCATTATACACACAATTTGACTTTACTGTTGAGTAAACTATTAATTTGTTAGCAATAACGAGCAAGCAGCTTTTAGTATATTAATAAATATTTAGTGTTTGCTCTTTAAAACTATAATACTTTATGTTAGCATATAGAAGCATATAACCTTGAATTTAGTAGCATTTCAAAAGAATTTCTAGAATTAATGAATCTTTTTGGCTTTCTTTTTGTCCATTGTAAGTACATTTATAAAAAATCAAAAGAACACACTTTTGTAAATGATATTGCACACTCCAATATGAGCACCACTGTGAACACACAGCACCTTGTGCTTATCACACCCCTCTACTTTTAGTAGATCTCAAAACTCAAATTTTTCATTTTGGGGGGGGGGGGTTGTTTGGTTGTTTTTTTTTTTTTTTTTTTTTTTTTTTTTTTTTTTTTTTTTTTTTTTTTTTTTTTTTTTGACAGAGTCTCTCTGTGTAGCCCTAGCTGTCCTGGAACTCACTCTGTAGAACACACTGGCTTCGAACTCACAGGTATCATTCAGCCTATGCTTCCCAAATTCTGGGATTAAAGGCATGCACCACCATGCCTGGCTATGGGGGATGTTTCTAATCTAATTTATGTATGAAATAATAGATATTGAAAATGAAAATTTTATCATAGATACTAGAAATCTGGATATAAATTTTCTTAGGCTTTTTTTTAACAACTGTAATAAAAATGAACTTATAGTAGTGTTGTATACTTACATTTACCAAGAGACTTATTTTGAAAACAACTTCTAGAAAAATAAAAGTATGACTCATTGAAATTATTGAAGATATTACCTAGTTATTCTCATATAGAAATTGCTTTCTCAGGCTAGACAGATGGCTCAGCAATTAAGATCACTGCTGCTTTTCCGGAGTACCTGGATTCAGTTCCCAGCACCCACATGGCAGGTCACAATTGTCTGTAACTCTAATTCCACAGGATCTGACATCATCTTATAGACATACATGCAGGTAAAACACCAATGCACATAAAGTAAAAAAATAAATTAGAAAAATGCTTTCTCTCAGGGAATTTGATAGTGATTTTTTATTATTAATTACTATCCCTTAAAATTATGTATTACCAATGAAAGTTTCAGTAGCTTGTTCTGTCCTGTGAGCATTTGTGCATTTGTTCTTAAGCTGAGAGCCCAGGAAACAACCATGTGTGGGAGTAGGTGAGCGCAGGCAGCAATACTGTAAGGAATGTGGACGGTACTAGCCAGGGTTGAAGAGTAGCCTGATGAAGGTAGCTCTGTCGGGTGCTTTAATGGGAAGCTTTAACAGGGAATACATTCCTTATAAAACTTAAAGGCTCTTTTATGCCGTTCTATACAGAGTGCTTTCTGTAATTGATCAGCACCTGGGGAGGCATTGAAGCCTAAAAGGACCTTGTCAGTTTTACACACAAAACACTTCTAGCTCAAGCAACATTACAGCTTTAATTTCTCCATTTTAATGACCCCTGATCATCTTTCATTTTTTCCGAGGCTTAATGCAGACTGAGTACAATGGAGGGGGTAAACTACAAAATTAGAACTTAATTGTTGTGTTACTTGAGCTTTTCTGCTGAAAATTACAGGTTTCTTGTTAGCAGCAGATGGCTAAAAATCATTTAGGGCCTACTGCAGCCACCATGTTGAGAGCATTCAAATTGATTTTTATTGGGAATATTTGTCATGATTTTTAGGAATACTTGTAGGAACAATTACTATACATACCTTTTTACTTCCCTAAACTACTAAAGTGAAATTTCTCTTTCCTCTATTTTTGCAGTACTTGGGTTTGAATCCAGCTCCTCACAAATTAGATAGGTGTCTATTGATAAGCTGTTATCCAAGCTCTCTTATTTGCATTGTTGAACTAAGGTCCTGGTGAGATAGTAAGGCTGTCTTTGAACTTGTGATTCTCTGGCTTTACGATCCCTAGTAGCTAGAATCCTAGGTGATGACCCCCATGCTCCACACAGCATGTGTTTGCTTATTTATATTTGATGAGATTTCTCTGTGCTGCACAGATTACTCTGCAACTCGGCAGTACTGATCTAACTGCTTCAGACACCCAATTTTATGAGCCTACAAGTGTGTGCTACCAAACTCAGCTCAGTAATAAAAATCAATTTAATATTGACCTTTAAGACAGAGGATTTATGCAACAAACAATCCAAATGCATAAACTATTTGAATTTTATATTATGGAAAGTACTAAAAAAGGCAGGGGCTCAGCAGTTAAGAATGCTTTCTATTCTTGGAGAGGACTGGGTTCAATTCCCAGCCCCACATGGTGGCTCACAACTGTCCATAACTCCAGTTCCAGGGTATCTCACTTGATTTTGACTTTCAAGGATACCAGACATACACGTGGTACAGATACATATATCTGGGTACAACACACACACACACACACACACACACACACACACACACACACACACACACAAACACAAAAAAAAAAAGAAAGAAAGAAAGAAAAAAGAAAAGGCAAAGAAGAAAACATCTGGGAGAACCGATGATGAGAAAGCTAAATATTTTGTAGTCTCAGTAGTTGAGTTCAGTATGTATGCAGTCTGCTGTGCAATCAACTTATTAAATCATTAGATTTTAGTTCTTTGGCTAATTTAGTGTTGAAACCTGGAGGCCCTGAATTATTCAGTTCCTTTTCTCACAAGCTCCTTAACCTTCCAACTCTTCCCTTGAGTTTACCAGGACAGTTTAGCACAGTAGAGTGCTGCTTTCCCATCCCCAGTCAACGCTTCCTGCTATTGCCTCGCTGTCTTTGAAGCTGTCTTTCTCTGCTTCAAACCAAGCCTAACACATACTGAGAATTCAGTGGGCCACTGACCTCCTACCAGTCTGTCAAAGTTTTGAGTTATCACTGCTGGCATATTTATGAAAAAAAGTGGTTTAAAGTAAACTGGAATAATTATTGATCATTATTAAAACTCAGTTTAAACTGCAGGGGAGTCCATAAAACCAGTGTCTAGTCACCTCTGTTACCTTTCTAGAAATGCCATTCAAAGGTAAGAGCTTCGTCCGCACATTAACAAAAGAATTCACAATGAAAATTGACTGAATGGCAGAAGAAAAATGAATTTGATATTTTAAAAAGCCACTCTAATTCCTGATTCATAATTTCTAAGAGAATTGCTTGTTCACACAGGGTGGCCTTGCAAATACAGGCTGATGGTTATCTAGAGATCATCCCCCAAGATTGCCTCTGTTTCTTTTTTTTTCCCCATATTTTAATTTAAATTCTCTAATTACTGCTTATATTTACATATCCATCCTCCCCATTCCCTTGCCCTCCCATGTTCCCCACCAACCCACCCAACCCATCCCCCAACTCCTCCCCTGGGATAGTGAGGCCCTCCACCAGGGACCTGTCATATCATTTGGGGGAGGGCCTAGGCCCTCCTTGCTATATCTGGGCTTCAATAGAATCCCTTCATAGGGAATGGGCTCCCAAAGTCCATATGTGCTTTAGGGTTAAAAACTGGCTCCACTGTTAGAGGTCTCATAGATTGTCTTGGCCTCCTAGCTGGCACCCACATTCAGAGGGCTTGGTTTTTACTTTGCATCTGTGAAGTATAACATCTAGAGTAGCCTTGTCATAGGACGATGAATAGGCTTCCAAGGTTGGAGTCACAATCACCCTCTCCTGCCACACCAGAATATTCCGTTTTCTTTATGAAGGTGGAGGCAGGACCTGGAGTAAGTAGCTCTCTCTCTTTGACTTTGGATTCTTTCACTTGAAAGTGACTCATAACTGATTTCTAAACTAAGCAGCATAGACAATTTGAAAACACTAGAAATCATTGGAAGTCTTTGATCTTTTAAAAGTTTCAGAAGCCCCCCAAAGCTCTGAACTTTTGTTCCCAGTGATCCCCCATTGATATCTCATTTTATATTTGTAAATCTTACTTTTTAAATGTCCCATGAAATTTTAGCCACTGAAGCACATTTTGAGAATACTTTAGGGAATATGTGAGGTAATTATCCAGAGATGAAGACCTTGGAAAATGTAAATAGCCAACAAAAGGTATTCATAATATACAAAGAATGTCTATAAGTAAGGAAAGTGGGATTTAATATGAAAGCAATGTGACAATAGACCTGCTCAAAAAAAAAATGCTTAATGAGCAATTGCATCTGAAAACACACTCTGATGAAATACTCTTTAGATTTATAAAATTGAGAAGATCAGACAGTATTGTTAAGGTTATTGCTGATAACATTCTTAAATTCTAACTAGAGTTCAGCCAATGTAACCATTTTGCAAAT